TATTTTCTACATAGACAATCAAAAGGAATCTACAAATATCTGTACCCCACCAATGAGAAACTTAGCTTTAAATCTAACAGTACACGTACAGGAGCTGAAAGCTAGAAAGCACTGATGAAAGAAATCAAAGAAGATCTAAATAAATGAAGAGACATAATTGTTTTCAGATTAGAAGGCTCAATAGTAAAGATTTTAATTTTCTCCCAAATGATATAAATGCTTAACGCAATTCCTATCAAAATCTAAGCAGGATTTTTAAAAAAATATACAGGGTGAGCCAAAGTTTATATGGAAAAGCAAAGGAATTAGGATAAAGCAATTTTGAAGAAGAATAAAGTGAGAGGAATCACTATCTAGCTACAGTCATCAAGACAGTGTGGTATTGGTAGAGGGAGAGACACATAAGTCAATGGAACAGAATAGAGTTCAGAAATAGGCTCACACAAGTAGGCCACTAGATTTTTTACAAAAGTACAAAGCAACCCAATAAAGAAAGGAAAATTTTCTCAACAAATAGTGTTGAAACAATTAGACATTATAGGGAGGAAAAAAAAAAAAAAAACCTCAACCTAAATCTTATACTGTATAAAAAAATCAACTCAAAATGTATCATAGACTAGGTAATTTTCACAGTAGACTTTATGTTTGTGCATCCGAAAAAAACGAAAACAAAACAAAAACAGTATTTTTAGGATGCAGATAAATGACAAAAGATTTATGTCCAGAATATATTACAACACTAAAAATAAGAAAAAAAGGTAAGGACCCATTAGGGCCACACCCAGTGGCGGTGAGGTGGGTTGGCCCTCTGCTTCACCAACAGGGTAGTGTCAGCCAGAATGAACTTCCATGCCTGCCCAGAAGCAATAAGGTAGAACTAGGTGGTTCCTGGCAGTGCTTCTCAGCAATCAGCTTCTCACCCACCTCCATGTTATCAGGGCCCCAGGGGGAGCTGAACTTCCACCCCTACCCATAGAAAATGAGGTGGGTGTCAGTGCCTCACTTTTGCTTGGGTGGAGTCAGTAGGGCCCAGCAGGGAGCTGAACATCCACCCCCACCTGGACCTTCAAGCTACACCGAAACAGGGTGACTGCCTGCAAAAAGAAAGGTTAAATAGGATCTAGAGTCTCACAACACAACATCCAAAACGTCCAGGATAGAACGAAAATCATTCATCAAATCAATAGGAAAATCTCAAAGTGAATAAGAAAAGAGAGTCGAGACATCAACAACAAGATAATTGGAATTATCTGACAAGGAATTTAAAACACCAATCATAAAAATGCTTCAATGAACAAATCATGTACATGCTTGAGACAAATGGAAAAAACAGAAAATCTTAGCAAAGGCAGAGTATAAAGAACAAAATGAATATTTTGAACTGAAAAATACATTAACCAAAATAAAAGATTCAAAGGATGTGCTCAAGAGCAGAATAGAGAAGACAGAGGAAAGTATCAGTGAACTTGAAGATAGAACAAGAGAAATTAACCAATATGAACAACAGAGAGGAAAAATATCTGAGTTCTAGAAGGAAAGGAGAAAGAGTGTGAGACTGAAAAGCATTTACATAAATAATGGTGGAAAATTCCCCAACTTTGACAATAAACATAAGCCCACAGATTCAGGAAGCTGAGCAAACTTCAAACAGATAAACCCAGAGAATTCATGCCAAGACATATCATAATCAGACTTCAGAAAACTAAAGACAAGAAAAAATTCTTGAAAGCAGCTAGAGAGAAATAATACATTACCTACAGAGGGCAATGATTCAAATGACAGAGATTTCTTATCAGAAAACATGAAGGCGAGAGGAAGTGGCACATTTTTCCAGTGCTGAAAGAACTGTCAACCAGAATTCTGTACCAGCAAAAAATATCCTTTAGGAATGAAGGTGAAATGAGGACACACTCAGATGAAGGAAAACGAAGACAATTTGTTGTCAGATCTACTCTAAAAGAATGGCTAATGGAAGTTCTTTAAACAGAAGAGAAATGATAAAGGAAGGAAACATGGAGCATCAGGAATGAGGGGAAAACAACAGAAAGAGTGAAAATATGGGTACATTTAATGGACTTACTTTCTCCTGTTGAGTTTCCTAAATTATGCTAGATGGTTGAGGCAAAAATGACAACGTTGTCTCATGTAGTTCTTAAGGTATATGGAGGAAATATTTAAGATAATTATACAATAAAGTTGGGAAATTAACGGACCTCAGTTGAGATAAGGTTTTGAACTGGTTAAATGTTGACACAAGTAGACTGTGATAAGTTATGTATGTGTAATGCCATGCAACAACTAAAAGTCTATACAAAGAGATATACTCAAGAACTCCATAGATAAATCAAAGCAGAATTCTAAAAAATGCTCAAGTAACCCACAATAAGACATGAAAAGTGAAACAGAGGGAAAAAACCCCAGAAGGAACAAACAAAACAACCAATAAAATGGCAGACAAATGTTCATAGCAGTTTTATTTGTAATAACTAAAAATTGGAAACAACCCAAATGTCTTTCAGTGGCTGAATGGTTAAAGAAGCCATGTTATAGCCGTACCACGGGAAACTGCTCAGAACTTGCAAAAAAAGAAAACAAATTATTGTACCTGCAACAACTCACATTGATCTCAAGGGAATTATGTTGAATGAAAAAAGTCAATCTCAAAAGGTTATATAGAGTATGATTCCATTTATAGAACACTCCTGATATGACAAAATTATAGAGAATAGATTAGTGGTTGCCAGGGGTTACGAGTGCAGAGCAGGGGGAGGAAAGGAGGATGGGTGTGACTACAAAGGGTTAGAACCAAGGATCTTTGTGGTGTTGGAAGTTTTATATCTTGATTATGGTGGTAGTTACACTAATTTACATATAAAATTGTATAAAACCACACAGACATAAATACACAAGTGCACATACAACCAGTGAAATCTGATCACTGATAAGGTCTGTTGATTGTACCAGTGTCAAATTTGACATTGTACTATAGTTATGTAAGATGTACCATCAGGGGAAACTGGATGTAGGGTACATGAACTAAATAGTACTAGAGAGCATTATTTCTGCAACTTCCTATAAATCTATAATTTTTTCTAAATAAAAACATTTTTGGAAGTCCCAGTAGAAAAAAATAGACAAAATACACGAATGGGCTATTTACAGAAAATGAAATTTGAGTACCACAAATATTTGAAATGCTTGAATATAAAACAGCTGTGGTACAGGAAGAAGTGAGCTTTCACATCCGCTGGGCCCTTACCTGACACATATAAAATCACCCACATCTGCATCCCCATTTAAGGATCCAGAAACCACAGAAAGTTTCGTTGAGATACATCGAAACTGCTTCTGCTCCGAAGCAGGTAACTATCCTTGGCTTGACATGTTAAAGCATTAATCACACTTTACAGTATGCATGAATGATCTCCTACCCCTCAATTTGAAACCAACCCAAATGCAGGTGATTTTTTTCCCGCCAAATGGAGAATCAATTATCCCAATAACTGAGAATTTATTTTGTTTCTTCACTGCTTTCAACTAGGGGAGAACTTGTGTTTGAAATAAAAATTAAATTTTAAAAAATTGGCCTCAAACAAATGCTATATATACTGCTGATTTTTATTATCCTAACATTATAAGAGGGTAAGTAAAATATTATCTTAATTCAGGTTTGGTTTGTGTATTAGCAAAGAGAATTTTCTACAAGTATTAGTATCTGATTAAAAAGAATACATTTTAAGATTGTTTCTATAGGTCCAGATTTCTTCCACCCATTTGATTCTTAATTTAGAGAAATAGGAAAATAAAGAAAGGCAAGAAAGAATATAAAAAAATCAACATAATTTTGACAAGATTTGTTACCACTGTCATATTTGCTTTTTCTTTTATTAAAGAAATATTACAGATAAATGTAACAAGTCCCTCCAAACCTTTCCCACTTCCTAAAAGGCAACCAATGTCATATATGGATCCATGATCAACACCCAGTAATTCTTTGCATTAATAATTCTTTGCATTATTAAATTTATAGAAATGTTATATCATGTTTCATTGTACATTTTGCTTTTTTCTCTCTCTATATTGTGATCTATCCATGTAACTGTATGTCAAATTTGTATCTTCTCTCTAAATACTGTATCCTATCATAGAAATAATCACATCATATTGATCTATTTCTCTACTAATGGAAATTTGTTATATCCAATTTAAAGTAATACAAACCATGATGCAATGAACATAGTGAGAGATATATATCTCTGTGCACATATGTGGGTGGCTATGAAGCCAATATACCAAAATAGAATTGATTGTTCCATATTTACATTTTGTTTTCTTTTTTTTGCTGAGGAAGAGTCGTCCTGAGCTCACATCTGTTGCCAATCTTCCTCTATTTTGTATGTGGGTCGCCGCCCCTGCATGGCCATGAGTGATGTAGGTCCGTGCCCAGGAACCGAACCTGGGCCACCGAAGTGGAGCACACCAAACTTAGCCACTACACCACCAGGGCTGGCCCCATACATTTATGTGTTTTTAAAGGTATCTTGTTACTCTAAAGTAATAAATATATTCTATTTTATTTTCATCAGTTTTTGAATTTTGCTTTTTATATTCTGGTCTTCAATCTATTTGGATTTTATTTTTGTATATGGTGTAAAGTAGAACACTAACATTTTTGTTCAGATGAATCTTCCATTTATTGAATAGGCCATCCTTTCTCCAATGATCTCAATAGAACTACCATACACAAAATTCCCATATCTCCTTCCTCCAATCCTCAATTTGCTTCCACTGTTTTGATTTAGTTACTCATCAAGAACACACTGTTTAAATCACACCAGCTTTAAATAAAGTATGTGATGATATCTAGCAGACTGTCTTCTCTTTTTTCACATTTGTTTCAGCTATTTGTGGCTCTTTACATTCCTATATAAAATTTTGAATCAGTTTGTGAAATTCTTAAAATATAACTGGTGAAAACTCTGAGTGGAAGTACTTTAAAGATTTGTGAGAGAATTTGTTTTTTACCATGTCAAGTCTTTTCAGACAATGTAATTTTTCTCAATGTTTCAGGTGTTCTTTTGTGCCCTTCAAAATGTTTTATAATTTTATATATGTCTCATAATTCATTGTTGTGTTTATTCTTGGATATTTTATATCAACACATTTTCTTATTATTTCTCATATAAAAGGTTATTTTTACAGTTTCTATTTTTTCACAATCTCCTTATTCTTCCTTATACATTGGCTAGAAGCTCAAGTATCATGTTGATATGCTAATAGCAGATATCTTATTTCAGATTTTAATGAGAAAGCTGAATAAATATCATCAATAGATAAGATGTCTGCTGAAGGTTTTTGATGATCAGCTTTTTCATTATACAATTTGTCACCCTGATAAGAATTCTGTTTCACAATTGTGTGACTTCTTTAAAAGGCTTTCCCACATTCACAGTTTTCTGCTCTAGAACTGGTTACGTAATGTGCAAGGAGGAGGTAATTCCTTCTGAAGGCTTTTCCATATCACAATATTCATTAGGTTTCTGTTTCTAATGAGTATGAATTCTCTGGTGTCTAACAAGGTGTGACTTTTGGCTGAAAGCCTTACCACACTCATTACAATGATAAGGCTTCTCACCTGTATGTTTTCTCATATGAAGTGTAAGAGATGAGATTTGAGAGAAGGCTTTTCCACATTTACTACAGTCAAACGGTTTCTCACCTGTATGACCTCGTATATGTATAGTAAGGGAGGAACTTTGGGAGAAGGCTTTTCCACATTTATTACATTCATAGGGTTTCTCACCTGTATGACCTCTCATGTGCACAATAAGGGAAGTTCTTTGAGAGAAAGCTTTTCCACATTCATTACATACATAGGGCTTCTCACCTGTATGACTTCGCATATGTAAATTAAGCAATGAGCACTGAGAGAAAGCTTTCCCACATTTATCACATTCATAAGGCTTTTCCCCTGTGTGACTTCTCAGATGAAGAGTAAGGGATGCAATCTGAGAAAAAGCTTTACCACATTCATTACAATCATAAGGTTTCTCTCCAGTGTGAACTTTCTGATGTGTAATAAAGTTTTGCTTTTGGCTGAAGGCTTTACCACATTCATTACATTCATAGGGTTTCTCTCCAGAATGAATTTTTTCATGAGCAATGAGATTTGACTTCTGGCTAAAGGCTTTGCCACATTCCTTACATATATAGGGTTTTTCTCCAGTGTGAATTCTCTGGTGTCTAACGAGATTTGACATCTGAATGAATGCTTTCCCACATTCATTACATTCATAAGGTTTCTCTCTAGTATGAATCTTCTGGTGCGTGATGAAGTTTTTTTTGTGGCTGAAGGCTTTTCTACATTCCTTACATTCATAGGGTTTCTCACCAGTATGACTTCTCATATGTACAGTAAGGGCTGAGCTTTGAGAAAAGGATTTTCCACATTCATTACATTCATAGGGTTTCTCACCTGTATGAATTCTCACATGTATAATAAGCATGGAAAACTGAGAGAAGGCTTTTCCACATTTATCACATTTATAAGGTTTTTCTCCTGTATGACTTCTCATATGAAGAGCAAGGGATGCAATTCGAGGGAAGGCTTTACCACATTCATTACATGCATAAGGTTTTTCCCCAGTATGAACTTTCTGATGGGCAATGAGGCTTTGCTTCTGGCTGAATGCTTTTCCACACTCATTACATTCATAAGGTTTCTCACCAGTATGAATTTTTTCATGATCAATGAGATTTGATTTCTGGCTGAAGGATTTCCCACATTCCTTACATGCATAGGGTTTCTCTCCAGTATGAATTCTTTGATGTCTAATGAGATTCGACATTTTAATGAAAGCTTTCCCACATTCATTACATTCATAAGACTGCTCCCTACTGTGAATTTTATGATGTTTAACAAGTTTTTCCTTGTGGCTGAAGGCTTTTCTACATTTTTTACATTCATAGGGTTTCTCTCCAGTATGAATTCTCAGGTGTCTGATGAGATCCAAGGTTTGACTGAATCCTTTTCCACAATGATTACACTTAAAGGGGGTTCCTACAAGATGGGATGAGCTATTGCCAAATGATTTCATAGATTCATTATATTCACAATCTTCCTTTCTTATAAGGATTCTCTCATTATTATGACAGTCAAAATTATCTTCTAAACACTTTCCAAATAAGTCATAGCCATAGAGATTGTGACTGGAAGGAAAAAAGTCTGAGTTTGGAGGAAAAGCAGTTGCAAATTTCTTATGATATTCATTGACTTTTTCTTCAGTCAGTGTTTTTGTGAATTTATCTTCAAGTTGTGTGACAAGTCTGTCCTGGACTTTCTGATGCTCATCAATTCCCCATATTTCTCCTAAAACAGATTACAAATAAATATCACTTGTAAATTTTTCCAATATTAAAATACGAAGAAAATTTCAAAAAATGTGCTATCACGGGATTGATTCTTGGCTTAATGCCTAGCTTCCCATTAGTAAGCAAATTCCAGCTGCACATATCTCCTATTTCCTAAGCTTTAGGAAATTCCAGGAAAGTAACTACGAAGAGAGGCAGATATTTATGAATACAAATAGCTTTGATTGCTTTTAAATGGGATCTGAAAGAAAACAAATAAATTTCTGGGTAAAAGGGAGAATGCAGAATGTACAAATAAAGTAAGAAAAAAGAAAAAACACAAACAGGAAGTTAAAAACATTATAAAACTATTTTGTAAGACTCTATTGAAACACACTTTATAAACTATTTGACACAAATAATTTTCTGGAAAATGTAAATTACCAAAACTGATTATAAGATGTAGAAAACCTATAGAGACCAATTTCCACAAAATAAACAGAAAAATATGAAAAGCAATCCCCTGAAAACAAAACAAATAGAAAAGGCCCAGAGAGATTCACAGGGGAATTTTAACAAATATATAAGGGACAGCTCTCATGCTATATAAAATGGTACCAAGGAAAAAAAGAGGAGAATTCCCTATTTTTGGGGGTGAAACAAACATAACATTACTATCAAAACCTGACAAAGATGACAACTAAAAAAGCAAACTATACACCAAATTTACTTATGAATATCAATATAAAAATTCCACATAAAATATCAAAATGACCCAGGAATGTAGGTATTTTTTTTCCAGGAATCTAAGTAGGTTTTTTTCTGGGAATGTAAGTATGTTTCAATATTAGAAAAACCTATTACTTTAATATAATAGGTCAAAAGTGAAAACTCAAGTAATCATTTCCAAAGATATTAAAAAGATGATAAAACTCAACATCTATTTTCCATTAAAAACCCTTTATAAAATGAGAATAGACAGACACTTATTTAACTTGAGAAAAGTACAGTACAACTTAAACACCAGCACCATACTTAATGGGAAAAATCCCAAAGCACTCACATTAAAGTCAGGAATAAAAAGAAGATGAGTACTATCACCACTATTATTACAGTATTGGATAGTGCATTAAGTAAGAGAAAGAAATCAGAGGTATAAGATCTTGGAAAGGAAAGGTAAAATTAACATTATTTCTCAGCAATAAAACTATTTAAATCAAGTCACCTGAAAAATTATTATAAAAAGAAATTCATTAAATTCACTATATATAGTAAATTAATATTCAGTTTTAAAAACCTTCATATATACAAACAACTATTTAGAAAATATAACAGAAGACTACACTTAAAATGGCAACAAAAAACATGAAAAATCTGGGAATAAATTTAATAAGAAATGCTCAAAAATTATAAGAAAACTTTAAAATGCACATACAGATATGAACAAAGGGAAAGGTGTTATGGGTTGAATTGTGTGCCCTCTCAAAAAGATATGTTGAAGTCCTAACCCCAAGTACCTGAAAATGTGAAGTTATTTGGAAATAGGGTCATTGAAGATGTAATTAGTTAAGATGAGGTAATATTGGAGTAGGGTAAGCCTCTAATCTAATATGACTGGTGCTCTCATAAAAAGAATGTGACATGGAGGCATTCCACTGGAGTTATGCTGCCACAAGCCAAGGAATGTCTGGGGCTACCAGAGGCTGAAAGAGGCAAGGAAGGGTCATTCTCCTACGGGTTTCAGAGGGAGCATGGCCTGTCAACACCTTGATTTAGTATTTCTAGCCTCCAGAACTGTGAGAATAAATTTCTGTTATTCTAAGCCACCCAGTTTGTGGTACTTTGTTACGGCAGCCCTAGGAAATTAAGACAAAAGGCATATCACGTTCTTGGAAAAGAACATTCAACAGCAAAGATGACAATTATTCACAACTAAACCTATCAACTTCAAGTGGTTTCAATACAAATGTCTGAAAATACGAGTAGTAATAACTCAATGGAAAATGATGCTACGGGTTGCCACCATAAAAAGGAAATGGGTAAGAGAAGAAGAATTACTTTTCCATACATATCCTTTTGTACCTTAAAAAATTCGTACTACAAGCATGTTGGGCTGGCCCCAGGGCCTAGTGGTTAAGTTTGGCACGCTCTGCTTTGGCAGCCCCGGTTCGGTTCCCAGGCATGGACCTACACCACTCACTGGCAACCATGCTGTGGTAGCGACCCACATACAAAAAAGAAGAAGATTGGCACAGATGTTAGTTCAGCGACAATCTTCCTCAAGCAAAAAGACGATGATTGGCAACAGATGTTAGCTCAGGGTGAATATTCCTCAGCAAAAAAAAAAAACAATTTGTACTACAAGCATGTATTAAGTATTTTAAAAAGTAAATAAATAAAATTTTTCTGAAACTGAAGTAATTAATAAAATGAGAACAAACAATGGGAAGGAAAAATTGCATGAAACAGTTGGAACATAAAACTGGAAGAGCCTACATAGCATGACTGGAGAGGGAGTAAGTATAGTGAGCAGAGGGGAAAACACAGAGTGAGAAACTGAGCTCAAATATGGTATAATAAATACAGGAATTTATCTCTGATCCTACCCAAACCACACTAATATGAGATAAAGAAATAAAAAGGTATAAACTAACGAAGACAAAGACCACGCCTCTAGGGCCGGCCCCGTGGCTTAGCGGTTAAGTGCGCGCGCTCCGCTGCTGGCGGCCGGGGATTCAGATCCCGGGCGCGCACTGATGCACCGCTTCTCCAGCCATGCTGAGGCCGCGTCCCACATACAGCAACTAGAAGGATGTGCAGCTATGACATACAACTATCCGCTGGGGCTTTGGAGGGAAAAAAAAAAAAAAAAAAAAGACCACGCCTCTACCCTAAAGAAGATGGGAGGTTACTCTCTTAAGAAATGGAAGTGGAAAGGCTCTAGAACCAGAGACACCAGGCAGAAGAATAAAGAGAAAGGAACTGGCTCAAGCACAGAGAAAGGAAGCAAAAGTCTACATGCTGAAAGGTGAGACAGTCAGTCCCCTGCTGCTGCTTAGATCCAAAATGGGAAAATGGAGATTTTTCTCCCTCTCTGCCAGACTGAGAATAAAGTAAGAGAAAAAGTCCTGTGAAGCTGTAAAGCAGGTAAAGTTAGAGACATGGTTGCAGATTATAAATATAGCAAAGAAGGCAGAATACTAAGCTTTTGGGTCACCTCAACTCAGGGAAAAGCAAAAGATGTTGCGGGAGAAGGTAAGATTAGGTCGTCAAGGCACTATTCAAGCAAAAGTGAAAAAGAATTCCAAGCAGAAGATGAAAATATCAAATGTGACAGAAAGGACCCCATGTTTTAAGATGGTGGAATGAAAAAGTACTGATCTCTCTTCTTTTCTACAAACAAGGAGAATGAAAAGTCATTGATTCTTCAATGATCCTGGGGAGTGGCTGTAACCCCAATTGTAATACATGAGTTAGTGTTGACACAGTGAAGGCTGGAACAAGGGGAGAAGGATTCTAAAAGACAGCTGTTCATGCTGATCTTGGGCAGAGCAAGCAGCTGACAGTGTCAAAAGGGATGTCACACCTTGAAGGGCAGAATTAATTACCCCATGATTACAACATTGAAATTTGGGAGTGTAGACTGGGTATAGGAAACTCGATATCACAAGGTATGTCAGGGAAGCTAGGACTAAACAAGGAACCATTCTGACATACTATTTTTCCGAGAAGAAGTCTGTTGGGGTGAGAGTGTAAGATCTCGTTATGAGAAGACTTGCAGCTGCAGTTCCTTTTTGGATGAAAAGAAATAAAGCCTAAACATACTTATACACACACAAACATGTAGAATAAAGGGCTTCAATGTGAAGCACAGATGCATTCATATAAATCAAGGGTTGGCAAATTTTTTCTTAAAGGGTCACACAGTAAATATTTTAGGCCTTGTAGGTCATATAGTCTTTGACATAACTATTCAACTTTGCCGTTGTAATGTGAAAACAGTCATAGACAAGATGTAAATGATTGGGTGTGGCTGTGTTCCAATAAAACTTTATTTACAAACAAGTGGCTGGCCTACAGGCCACAGTTCGCCGATCCCTGCTCTACATCAGAGCACTCATTTTCCTTCCCCAACATTATCCTTCTTTAAAGCAGGTCAAGGAAGAACTATACTCACTCAAAAATGGAAAGGTTCTGGAATCAGATCTATAAAAAGTCTTATAAGAAAAAAAGAAAAGAAACATGACATTAAAAAAGCAGGCAAAATATACAAGCTAAAACAATTATGGCACATAGTAAATAAAAATCTTGACTAGATGTATTGACATGAATAAAAACTTAATGAAAATAGCATCTATAAAGGGCTCAAAATATAAGTAAAAATACATGAGGAAGAAACAATGAGAAAACAAAAAAGGATAAAAAAATAAACTGGCAGAACCAAGGAAAGAAATGGAAGAGAAAAATAAAACCAACTGAAATGCAAGAGACCATGCAAGTGGGGAAAAGGAAAGAGAGAGACTAGATAGGACTATTACTACTGAGATTATGGCAGGGTAACCTCACATTGCCAAACAATAAGATAATGCATAAAACAGAAATTATGATGCATCACTGGGCTTATAAGAAGTAGCATAAATCTTCAAGAACACTTCAGTACTCTACACCAACCACACCTGAGCACCATACACAAAAAAATGAACAAAACAAAAATAAACAACTGTTAGACAAAACCAGGTCTGAGAGAGGGAATTAGAAAGCAAGCTGGAGGATGGGTCTGACCCAGGTACCTATGCAAACAAAAGCCCTATTAACTGAAGTATAAGCCACAGGCCAGCAATTAGGAAGAGAAGCTCAACTGAAGTTCCTACAAAAAGCCAGGACCTTCAAAAAATGTTCAACTGGTCCTCACTTGGTCATGCCTGTGGCACCCACCAGAAGCACATGCAGATCATCTTTGGAAGACAGGAACTCCAATTTAGGATAATAAAATTATCACAAATTATGATTTTAAAAATTTGAATTCACAATCAGCAATCATCAAGCCTGTGAAGAAGCAAGTACAATAAGTGAGTCAACAGAAACAAGATATTTAAACCTGAGGGCTTAAAATACTGTAATTGTCAGGTACAAAATACAAAAGAGCTATGTAGAGTATTTTTAAAGAAGCAAAGGATAAAAACACAAAGCTCAACAAGCCACAGAAATTATTATGAAGGACAAAAAAGACATGGAAAAAAAAAAAAAAAGAGAGAGAAATTTCTAAAAATACTACTACTGAAAATTTTTTTAAAAGTGGATGAGTTAAAAAGATGAATAAATACAGTTGAGAGTTAGTAAACTGGAAGATATATCTGAAATAATTACTGAGAAGGCAACACAGAGAGATAGGGAAGTAGAAAATAGCAAAGGAAATGAAAAAAAATATGGAAGAAAAAATAAGAGGGTCTAGTATCTATGTAATAGGAGTCCCAGAAGTGGAGGGTAGAGAGAATGAAGCAGAGCCAGTATGTGATAATGCTGGCTGAGAAATCTGCAGAATTAATGAAAGACGTAAATACATAATTTTATAACAACAGATATGAAAATACAGATGAAACAAATTGTTAAATATAACAGATGACCCTGGAACATCAATATATGGTAAACTTTTACAATATGGAGGAAATTTAAATATTTGTAGAAATTACATTGTTCAACTCTGTGAAAATTAATTTGAAAACCAGGATTAAAACGGATAATTTTCTGGAAAAACACAACCTATTATCAAAAACTAATGCCAGGGTCGGCCCGGTGGTGCAAGCGGTTAAGTGTGTGTGCTCCGCTGCGGCGGCCTGGGTTCGCCGGTTTGGATCCCCAGCACACACTGACGCACTGCTTGTCAGGCCATGTTGTGGTGGCGTCCCATATAAAGTGGAGGAAGATGGGCATGGATATTAGCCCAGGGCCAGTCTTCCCCAGCAAAAAGAGGAGGATTGGCAGATGTTAGCTCAGGGCTGATCTTCCTCAAAAAAAAAAAACTAATGCCAAAAGAGATAAAAACATCTATATAGAACAGTTATAAAAGGAATACTGGAGAAAAGCTGTCAAAGAATCTTCCCTCAATAATCCACAAGGTTCAAATAGTGAAACAGGGAAGATAAACCAAAATTTTAAGGGAGTTATACATCAATGCTATTCCAAGTGTTCCAGAACATGAAAGAAAGCTTCCAAATTCTATTTGTGAAACCAGCATAATGTTGACTTCAAAGCCTGAAAAAGTTGGAAAAATTATTTAAATTCATAGCAAAAATGGGAAGATGAGTCATTATTAAGAAATATGTAAACATAATTCATGCATATACATAAGAGGAAAAAAAATCATATGATAATCTCCTGTAAGAAAAGATTATTATTTTAACTACATGAATATTAAAAAAAACTTAAGGTGGGTAAAAGTACTTCAAAGAGGAATGACCAATTGTGAAAAAATATTGGAAAAGCATATGACAAATAAAGGGCTAATCACATGAATATGTTAAGAGTTCATACAAATTAAGAACTCAGAAAAAAAGGGGAAAAGACACAAACTGTTTATAAAGAAAGAAATATAGATTTTAAACATGAAAAGATGCTTGCCTTCACTCAATAAAGGAAGTGCAAATTCAAACTACAAGAAGTTATTTTTCACCTATCAAATTGGTAAAGATTTAAAAAATGCTAATAGACTATGTTGGCAGAAATTGTTGGTACAAATATAAATTCTTAAAAATTCCTTGGAAGGCAAAAAAAGACTTGGCAATATCTATCAAATCAGAAATACATGTATGTATATGTATGCATATATACTGTATATGTGTGTATGTATGTATATGTGTGTGTGTATATACACACATACATCACACATATACACAAAAATGCGTGCATATATACATGACAAATGTAGCACAAAATGGGAGCTAAGAGAAAAGTAGCACTGCGTTTAAAACTTTTATTGAAGTAAAAAGGTTTTGGCCATTACTGAAGTATCAGAGCAGAATCTAAAAATACAGTGGGAAGTTTGACTATGGGTACAAAATATGATGCTAAGGCATCTACAATGGAAGGAAGAAAAGAAACTATAAAATAAAAGACTATAAATGTCAACAGGTTTACTTGAACAACTACAATTCCGTGAATATCTGAATGCAAAAAAAAAAGAATCCTATGTAAAAAGGTGGGCAGAGACACTGAAGATGCTAAAAACAGAATGATTATCAAAGTAAAGCTGCAAATGAATTAGGAAATGTTGATATCTAGCACATCGCTAAAAAGTCCCACTGGCCATTTAAGTTCTGCAGAAACAAGTTCTGAGAAAAGAAGTTAAGAATGTCACCTACAAATCACATTGTAGGTTTATAAAAATATCACACCAATTGTCACTACAAAAGTCTACAGTCTTTAGGAAAATATCTTTGAAGGACATTTCAAAGGGATCAATTACTCATGGATTAACCATTAAAGGGTCCTGGCCCCTCCTCACCTGTCTGGTTCCCTCCCACTAACCTGGACAGTGTCTCCTTAACACGTCTTCCTCCACCCATGGTTCTTCTTCTTGCTCCAACTTGAAAATCACATCAGGTTTGGTGAATGGACAGCCTGTCAAAGAGAAGTGACATAAGATTTGGGCATAAATACTAGAACAAAGAATCATTCAAGGATTGAGGCTGGCCCAGGGAAACCACACTTTCTGAAGGATAAGAAAAGTGTGGTTTTGGGGGATGCTGCCCTCTGAAACATAAGAGAGGACCTTTTGTTTTGAAAGCTGCAGCTTGCACATTAATTTGAGCAAAGGCATCTAAAGGCCAAATTCACTCTACACTTAAAGGTTCCACACGCTTCATAAAACTGGGGAAAAAAAGGTACTTTCGTCCCAAAGTTTGAGTTACACAGGAAACTACCCTTACCCACTGTGATTAAGTTGTTATAGTTTTCTAGCATCACATTCCGGTACAGGTTCCTCTGAGCAGGATCCAACTGCTGCCATTCTTCCTGGGTGAAGTCAATAGCCACATCTTTGAATGTCACTGTTTCCTGTAACAACATACTCCTACTCAATCTGAAGTCATCCATGTTAGATGATATGGACAAAGCATATTGAACTGTATTCTTATGGTACACAAAGGTAAGAGATTATAAAAAAATTTACCTGGTTTTGTTATTTTCTAAAAGAAAAAACATCATATTAGCAACATCCTGTCAGTTTATGTTCATTCATTAAACTAGCAAGCACATATCTTTAATAACGACCATAGGTTAAAGAGATCTTGGGCACCAATTTATACCGAGTGTGGAAATGGGCGAATATAAAACTTTACTCAAGTTAACTGGTTTGAGAACTCGCTAGATGCCTGTGATTCACTGATGCAGGAAAAAATGAAAACAGGATTTGGATGGAAGCAGGGAGAAAATGATATGCAAAATTTGAAGTATAGCAGGATATCCAACTGGAGATATACATTGATTTAGCTGTTCTGGACATACTGTTCATTAGATTAGGAGAAATCTGGAATGAAATGAGGATTTATTGTTCATAAGCCTATATAACAGGTGTCTGCAGATATGAAAATGCGAAAATGCTCAGAGTTCACATATCTTGAAAGAAAAGGGTTACACACAGAATCATAGAAATACCAACAGACAAAGAAAAAAGATTCATTAAAGTTTTTCTAACGGTCTGAACTAGAATTATAACCAGAGCCATGAGAAAACAGTATCAACAAAGCTTTAGAATAAGTTTCAGAAATGAGATGCTGGTGACAAATTTCTTGAAAGCAATGTGATTTGAATAGTGAAATATAATGCACTTTTCCTAGTTAAAAACTGAAATGCCCAAAAGAATAGAAACATAAGAAAAAAAAATCAACAATACTAGAACAAAGGGAGCTGTCTATATTTCCTAGCCTTTGAGGAATTTCTACAAGAGATGGAGTGAGATAAAAAGAAATCACCAGGAGTTAATTCACAATCAATGTTTCTAAGAATTTATTTCCAGGTCCTAAAAGGACCCTATCAACATTAACATTCACTAACACTAAGGGTTCAGAGTAGGCTGTGAGACTGATGGGAAATACTGTTTTGGAATCCTTTTCTGCTGAAGATCAAGGTCTTTGAAATAAACAGGTTTAAGAAAACAAAGGTGATTATGGCTGAATAAGACATCCCTCATTTGTGTCCCCCTGTCAACCACAATTTGGCATCCATCCATGGACAAAAGTGCCTTCGTAGGAGCTGTGGGATCCAGCAGCATACGCCAAGGGACTCAGGAGGAGTCTCACCCACCCAGGCATTGGGTAATAGGCATACAGACCTCAGTCCTGGCTGTGGACCCTGCAGCAGCCCATGAACTGACTCTACCCCTCCTGGCCATGGTCCAGGAGCCCCTGGAAAAAACTATCTTAGACAACCACCCATGGATGACAGCCTTTGTGGAAGTCCACGTCTCCAGCAGAGAAGTTCCAGCACACTGTTCAAACTAAAAATACGAGCTTGGACTCATCAGAGAGGGTAAGAGGAACAGTTTGACTTTACTCACATCACCTCTCCCCCAAGGCAGCACAGCTTAGGGCCATTAGAGATCTTCTTGGCTCGTGATCTCATCCACAGAGAAAAATGACAGTCTATGAGTGAGCACCTGGCTTCCTAGCTGGTGCCAGAGAGGCTCATTTCTCTCTCACTCCATCCAGAGTACAGAATTCTGAGCTGCATGACCGGGGGGCGGGAAGACTCTGAGAGAGTGGCAGATAGGACTTGCATAGAGCATTAAAGGGATGCAGATCCTACTAATTGCATTGTGGACTCCATCAAGAAACCTGCCCATGAGCTGCTGGGTATGCTTTGCCTGTAGATGCCCCTCAACTGTCCTACAGGCACCCCCAGAGCTCTGCAGGCTTCACACACACACATGCCTACCCCATAGCTGGCTCCCTGTGAGCACTCCTGATGGTGGTGGTGAGAGAAAGCTTTGGCAGATGACTAATGAACATGCTCAGAGTGCCAGCCTGAATTTGCAGGCCAAGTAAAGACCACAAACGTGAGCTCTAGCACCACCTTTGGGGAAACAAAAGGGAGGCTGTCAGCAAGCACCCTGCCTTGAAAAAGGGAAGGCATAAAAGCTTAAAAATTCTGCTATAAGAGGGAGCAAGAAGAGTGTAGTGGGTGTATCCATTGAAGCTCTGAGAAGGCCTCAGAATCCCTAGCAGGGCTGATAGAAGTTATTTCTCTCCTGAAAGTTGCTAATAAAGACTGGAGGAAGTGACTGCCATTTCAAATGCAAAGACAGCAATGCAAAACTTCAAGAAACATGAAAAATCAAGGAAACATGATACTACAAAAGGATGACAATAATCTTCCAGTAACTGATCCCAAAGACATGGAGATCTGTGATTTACCCAGTAAAGAATTCAAAATAGCTGTTTTAAGGAAACTCAAAGAGCTATAAGAAAAAAACAGAAACAAAATTCAATAATATCAGAAACACACTACACGTACCAAACAAGAAGCTTAACAAAGAGAAATTAAACAAAGAACCAAACAGAAATTCTGGAGCTGACAAATACAATGAATGAAATGAAAAATGCAATAGAGAGCATCAACATCAGAATGGATCAAATAGAAGCAGGAATCTGTGAGTTAGAAGACAGGAACTGTGAATTATCCAGTCAGAGGAGAAAAAATAATTAAAAGAGTGAAGAACGCCTATGTGAATTACAGGACACCACCAAACAAAATATATTCACCTTATAGGAATCTCAGAATGAGAAGAGAGAGAAAAGGGGCAAAAAGCTTATTTAAAGAAATAATGCCTGAGAACTTCCCAAATATGGGGAGAGATTTTGATATACACGTTCATCAAGCTCATAAGTCACCAAAAAAACTCAATTTAAAGAAATCCTCTCCAAGACACATTAAAATAAAACAGTCAAAAACCAAAGACAAAGAGAGAATCTTTAAAGCAACAAGAGAAAAGAAGCTTGTAACTTACAGAGAATCCCCATTAGGCTAACAGATTTTTTAGCAGAAACTTTATAGGCCACGAGAGAGTGGGATGATATATTCAAAGCACTGAAAGAAAAAAAACCCTGCAAATTAAGAATATACTATCCACCAAAGTTGTCCCTCAGAAAGGAAGGAGAGAGAAGACTTTCCCAACAAATGAAAGCTGAGGGAGTTCATCACATTAGACCTACTTTACAAGAAATGCTGAAAGGAATTCTTGAAGCTGAAATGAAAGGACACTAATTAGTAACATGAAAACATAAAAATATACAACACACAGGTAAAGGAAAGTGTATAGTAAAATTCAGAAAACTCTAAAATGTAATATGGTGCTGTGTTAACCACTTAATTCTAGTATAAAAGTTAAAGGACAGGAGTATTAAAAATAACTATAGTTACAATAATTTGTTAACAAATATATAATTTTAAAAAAGGTAAACTGTGACATCAAAAACATAAAAGAAGGGAGTAAAATGGTAGAGTTTTTGTATGTGATCAAAGTTGTTAAGGTACCAGCATAAAGTAGAATGTTCTACCTATGAAATACTTTATGTAAGCCTCATGGTAACCACAAAGCAAAACCTACAGTAGATACACAAAAGAAAAAGAGAAGGGAATCAGAGCGTACCACCACATAAAGAATCAATTTGCAAAAGAAGGCAGCAAGAGAGGAAGAAAGGAACAAGGGAACTAAAAAATAGCCAGAAAACAATGAATAAGATAAGTAAGTCTTTACCTAGTAATAATTACTCCAAATGCAAATAGATTGAATTCTCCAATCAAAAGTCATAGAGTAGCTGGATGGATTAAACAAAACCAAACAATATGCTGTATACCAGACACTCACTTCAGCTTTAAGGACATATATATAGGCTCAAAGCAAAGGGATGGTAAAAGATACTCCATGCAACTAGCAGAAAGAGAAGTTAAGAATACAATCCCAGGGCCGGCCCTGTGGCTTGGTGGTTAAGTGCGCGCGCTGCAATGCTGGTGGCCCGGGTTCGGATCCTGGGTGCGCATCGAGGCACCACTTCTCCCTCCATCCTGAGGCCGAGTCCCACATACAGCAACTAGAAGGATGTGCAGCTATGTCATACAACTATCTACTGGGGCTTTGGGGGGAAAATATAAAATAAATAAAATCTTTAAAAAAAAAAAAAAAGAATACAATCTCATTTACAATCACGACAAAAAGAATAAAGTATCTAGGAATATATTTAACCAAGGAGGTGAAAGATCTATACACTGAAAACTATAAGACATTATTGAAAGAAATGGAAGACGACAAAAATAAATGGAAAGACATTCTGTGCTCACAGATTGGAAGAATAAACGAAGTTAAAATGTCCATATTACCCAAAGCAATCTACAGATTCAATGCAATCCCAATCAAAAACCCAATGACATTCTTCACGGAAATAGAACAGGAATACTAAAATTTATAAAGAACAACAAAAGACCCCAAATAGCCAAAGCAATCCTAAGAAAAAAGAACAAAGCTAGAGGCATCACAATCCCTGACTTTAAAATATACTACGGGGGCCGGCCCCGTGGCTTAGCAGTTATGTGCACGCGCTCCGCTGCTGGCGGCCCGGGTTCGGATCCTGGGCGCGCACTGACGCACCACTTGTCAGGCCACGCTGAGGCGGCGTCCCACATACAGCAACTAAAAGGGTATGCAACTATGACATACAATTATCTACTGGGGACTTGGGGAGAAAAAGGGAAAAAAAGGGGAGGATTGGCAATAGATGTTAGCTCAGGGCCAGTCTTCCTCAGCAAAAAGGTGAAGACTGGCATGGATGTTAGCTCAGGGCTAATCTTCGTCGCAAAAAAAAAAAAAAAAAAAACCGGGCAGAGGATATGAGCAGACATTATTCCAAAGAAGATATACAGATGGCCAACAGATACATGAAAAGATGTTCAACATCACTAATCATTAGGGAAATGCAAGTCAAAACTACAATGAGATATCACCTTACATCCATCAGAATGGCTATAATTAACAAAAGAAATAATAATAAATGTTGGAGAGG